ACTCTAGCAGTTCTCTTTCACCAGCAGAGGGCGCTATATGGATGACAACGAGCATTTTCACTCTTCAGAGTGTTGAGCGGTGATGTTCGTTCATCAACATAAATCTAAGACAGATATCGGCGGATATATCAGTATCAGGTTTTTTTTTCCTCCACGATATCGGTATCGGCTCCAACGAGCATTTTCACTCTCCAGAGTGTCAAGCGGTGATGCTCGCCATGTGCAGTTACTTTCCAGTTGAGTCACCGTCTTCTCTTCATTATATAATTTTTCCACAACTGTTTGATAACTGCATTTGAGGAATCAACGTACTAAATGTGTATATACTATCTCTATCATACATAGATCTTAGAAAGATATCGAACGATATATCGATATCGCGGTTTTTTTCCCTCCCCAATATCAGTATCGGTATCCGTCCCAAAAATCCAATATCGGTCGGGCCCTTATTCTTAAACAATAAAGTGAATCAGGTTGTAGCCTGCTGTCATCATGAACATGTGTATTCTGTTAGACGTTAGTATACTTACATTAGGGCTGTTTTTAAAAGCCACAACAATCCCTGACCGCGGAATAAAGTGGAAAAACAATAAATTCCCAACAATTAAAAATGTAGTTTGTAACTTTGGTAAATGGTTTCCTTTGACCGGATCCCCATGAGTAAACACCTGTTGTATTCAGTGCATCCCTGAAACCTGTAGATCAGGGTGCAGGATTGCACTTTTATTATTGGCATTGTAGCAAGGAGTCGATGTTTGTTTGTTTCTCTCTTTCTGGACACCCAACACTGTCTCAGCAGGCGGCTGGTCAACATGAGTCTGGTTCTATGGAGTCAGGTCAGTCTCAATATTCACGAAAGTGATCATATTAAAACATACCCTTGAATCTACGCTACTGTGATTGGCTGAATAGGAAGGAGACATCTGATTGGCTACAGACATTTCCCTGCTGAAAAAAATGCATTTGTGAATCTAAACCACGGCAGGGGAGTCTCAAAAGTCCCACACACAAACGCAGTGAGGTTCACAAATGACAAACAGTTTGTATATAAATGTAACAAGATACAAATGTGTTTTTAAAATATACATGTATATTTTATTTTATTTATTTTATTTATTTTATTTATTTTATTTATTTTATTTATTTTATTTATTTTATTGTATTTCTTATTTGTGGATTTGTTTTACATTCATATAGAATTAAATGTATTTGTGTGTGCATTGAAATACATTTGTGAATCCTTCTGTGTGCATTTGTGAATATTGAGACTGATGTAACTCCATATGGTTCTGCTCCAGGTCTCTGCCTCTTAAAAAGAAAGTTCTTCCTCGCTGCTGTAACTTTCCAAATGTTGCCGAGTGATGTGCTCATGTTGGATTAATATTGGGTCTCTATAAATAATACATCACAGAGGAGTCTTATTGTAAAGTGTAAGACTGACGGCTGCAGGTGTCAGGATTAAATGCAGGAAGAAAATCCATCGCTGTTGTGATTTTTTTGGTGTATATTTAAAAGAAACTTCACATTCTACATTTCGCCCTCCAAGTAATGCTGTTTGTCTCTACTTTTTGTCCTCGCCTGTTTGAGCTTGTGTATGTGATGGTTTCCCCTCACAGGCTGATGGATGGTGCTGAGGAGGCCGATGAAGCTGCTTGGAAAGGTTCTCAGTAGCAGGGTAAATGATTAGGCTGTGCTCAGCCACAATATTCACATTACTTCAGTGTCTGCAAGAGCCAGGCGGGGATCGATACTCTATTACTCTTCCACCTGAGCCAATCCCTGGACGGGCAGTGCGACCACAGGGAGCCCCCGCCGCCGCCGCTGCTGCTCTGAATTCACCAATCAATGCTGCTGCAGACTCGGTAAAAAAAAACGTGATTAGAGATCTTAACTGAGGCACCGGCCGGACACGGGCTCCTGATCATCCCCAACATTGCTTCACATAGTTGAAGCACGTACAGACAGACAGGAAGTTGCCCCCAGTGCTGGTGTTTGTAAGGCGAGAGGGTTCTGCAGGCTGCTGGAGCGCTCAGATCCTCAGGGGAGCACTGCAGTGGCCTCTGCTTCTGATTAAAAGTTTGCTTTTGCGGCAATCAGCTTTTGCAGAGTCAGCAAATTACTGACCTTGCTTTGTGTCCTGTGAGTGTGTGCGTGTGCTTTACCCTCGCCTCGAACATGCGCCATAGTGTGTGCATGCTGTGATCTGCAGTGATACACATCCACATGACTTTTAAAGGCTGGGACCATTACAGATGTTTATATTCATAGCAGGATGTGGTGGAGGAACTGGAGCATATTCCAGCCCTCATACGCTTCATCAGTCAGCTAACAGATAAACACAGTAACGCCATCACACTTAGAAGGCGTGTCTTAAGTCTCCATTTAACTCCAGCCATGTAAACCATCCCACTTAAAAAAAATAATAACAGTAGTATATAAATAAGCAACAACAAATAAACAAGCAAAACACAAACAAAACCTTACATTTTTATGAGGTTAAAATCTATCCGTTTCTAACACTGAATATTGTGTTTTTTGGGTGGGTGGAAATGTCACTGTAGAAAAGTTTTAGTTTGTCACTGCTGATGGATGTTAGCAGAATTTAACCCAGATAGAGTTTGTGAGTTTTTAATGAATCTACATATTATTTGTTTCTGACGGATTGTGCAATGTGCAATACATGAATTGGATCCTGGTGTTGCAGGGTAACTCTCTCTTCGATGCAGTTATATGCGTTTGCTGTCGTTGCCATGGTTATGTTTGTTGTGCTTCCTGCTTCAGTCAGCTTACTTCCTTATTGGCTCTTGTTCCGCTCCATGTGACAATTCACAGAGTCTGTGCTCGGCCGTCCGCGGTGTTCTCCCCACACGACAGGATTTCTGATCGTAAAAATTGAACACCATTAATATTTATGTTTTCAAATCGTGGCGGCACCTCACACCTCAGGAGGACCTGGCAAGACAATCTAGCATCCATTAGATAGTCGGGCCTTTGCCGACTTTGGTAACTAAGGGGGGAATCGGGCCCAAAATCGGGCCAATTATCTTGTACTGTGTACCTCTCTTAACTTTAATATAACCCAGACTTTCCAGATTTTAATAAAAAGACAGTTGTTCACTTATTCCCAGCACTGATGGCACATGAGTCAAATGATACATGAGTAAAAGCTGACATGCATCTTCCCTCTCTCTCTCTCTCTTTCTGCCTCTTTTACTTTTCTAACCCTAGTTGAGTGCTGCGAGCGCATAAAGATAAAGAGCTGTTAAGTGGTGCTGGTCTTTTTCCGCTGTCTGTTGAGTAATGGCCGAGGAGCCCATCGACCCCGCCGGTCTCATAAAGCAGAGAGCAGAACAACAGACAGACTGTTCACACCCAGACCACTGCCAGCTCCGCTCTGCAGTCAAATGAAGTTGTTCTCCATTTCTGTTACGCTGATGTTAACCTTTGAATTAAAAATCAGTCATCATAACAAACTAAGATGCTACAACTTTATTAAGTGTTTGTCAATATGTTTTAGGGTTGTCATGAAAACCACTGCAACAAAAACAGAAGTCCTAAGCATCCAAATTAGTTTAAAGGTCACATATTATCCTCTTTTTAAACCAGTGTAAATAAGTCGCAGAGCTCCTCAAAACATGTGTGTGAAGTTTCTTGTTCTAAATCCACTCTGATCCTGTATTTGATCATGTCTATAAACCCCTCTATTTCAGCCCTGCTCAGAGCAGGCTGTTTCTGTGTCTGTACCTTTAAATATGTAAATGAGCTGTGTCTGACCACGCCCCCTCTCTGGAAGGGCTTGGATGTACTCGGTGCTTTCTCGCTCCATGTCCTATTGTTTACGGTGAGAAGGCAGACTCGGAGGGCAGAACAAACACCTAGCTGTGGGAGTGTCACCCACCTGGGGGAGGGGCTACTGCCCTTTGTGATGTCATGAAGGGAAAATCTCCAAACGACCTGTTTGAGCACACATTTTCTGAAATTAGGAGCAGGCAAAAGATGGAGAGGATGGACTTTTCTCATAATTGGAGGGTTTATGGACAGACTCATATTAGTGTTAGAAAAACATGGTGAAGTATATTTTACAGAATAAGTGACCTTTACTTCGAGGTTTTTTATTTCCAAAAATTGCAAACAAAGTCCTGCTTTCGTCATTTTCAACTTCATATGTTCAAAATAACACAAACTTCTTTGATAAACTGCAAACAAGATATTTAATATATTCTCATCATCATCACTTTATATCTTCCAGGATTTACTTCCATTTCAGTCCGTCTGTACGTTATTTTATTCTTTAATTTTTGAATGTTTTTGTTCAGTTTTGAGCCCGTGAAAGAAACTGTCTCTCTCTCTCTCTCTCTCTCTCTCTGTGTCATCCTGTTCTTGTTTGCAACACGTTGATGCTGAAGTGAAGCCATTGTGTGTGCAGACAAAAGCCTAAAGGACAGGGTGTCTCTCTGTAAATGGGTAGTGCGAGCGCCCGCATGATGTAGTATTCATCCCACACATTATCACAGGAACCGCAGGATGTCCAGTGTGTGCAGGTGTGTAGGTGTGTGAGTCCAGCTCATTCAGCACCATGTTATTTGCTGTAATAGAGGTCTGTCTGTTCACATTGTGGCAGAAAATGGACTTCAGCACAGCAGCAACAGGACATTGTGTAAATGCACGCGGCGCTCCAGCTCTTTACTCGAAGATGGTGGATATGATACAGATGGTCTCGTTCTGATTCAAGAATCCGCCTCAGTAACACATTTACACTCTTATGTCTTGTACCTGGGACTATGAACATATCTAATTAACCATAAACAATGTTTCAGAGGAGTCTATATTTTCAGAGTCAAAAGCTTTAAATCTGAAGGTTCTCGTCTGAACATCTTTATTTCTTGTTCTTTGGTTTCACAACAAATCCTTCAGCTTAACTTGAATGTTTTTTTCTAAATGCTTCACCTCCAAGCTGCAGCATCCACTCACCTCCCTGTGTCTGTGTCTGTGGCGTGTAGGAGCTGTGTGAAGACCCTCACCTGTTTGTGGATGGAATCAGCGCTCACGACTTGCATCAGGGACAGCTGGGGAACTGCTGGTTCGTAGCGGCGTGCTCCAGCTTGGCCTCCAGAGAGTCTCTATGGCAAAAAGTAAGTGTTTGCATTCATGTGTGGGTATATAAATGTTGTCTGTCAAACGACCTCTGATCAGTCAGCACACAGCGGCTCTAAAACGACCTGAAAGCAGTCTGATGATTGTGAACGCCTCAATAAGCTATTAAAGAGTTTAAAATGAGTCTTCTTTACCAAGAGAAAAAAATAGAGTTCATGTAGTTTATGTGTCCAGAATATGAGACACACTATAAATAAGTCTGTTCTGGGGGTCTCTCAGAGGGATCAAATGGTTTAAACTGACTTCCTGCGGGACGATTTCCTTTGTGGTCAGCAAAGGCCACAACAGGAAGGTTCTGTGCAGCTGTGCAGCTCTTCTTATTACCATCTAGTTTTTGCAGTGTGGAATTTGCATTCCTGCTAGCTGTCAGTACAGTAGTTGAGCACTCAGTAAGGTAACATTCATAGTCGTGAAGTGCAGACCCCCACAGCCTCTGCTGTTGCACTGCACACTCTGCTGCTCACTTGTTGTCTTTAGCCCCGTTTCCACCAAGCTGTCCGGTTCAGTTCGGTTCAATAAGGTACTCATTTATTAGCATTGTTAATGCTAATGTTGGAATGGTACCAAAATAATGGTACCAAAATAACCGATGAGTACAATCCTAGTTTTTTGGTATCCTTCTGTTAGGGTGCCAAGAGTACCGATCAACCCTTAAGGGTCCCTTTTGTTTACTGTCTCCTGTTCTTCCTTTTCGTTTAACTTAATGAATAGCGGGCTCCAATGTGTTCATGCTGCTATGATGTCACTCTATTTCCTATCTCCATCTCCACTTACCAAATAAGGGTACGGTTGGCTGTGGAAACTCAAGCTAAGGTACACATTCTTAAGTGTTTCCACTGTCAAAAGTTGAGAATGGTACCAAAATAAGTAATCAGTACCGTCATACTTTCTTGGTATCCTTCTGTTGGGGTGCCAAGCGTACCAATCCAACCCTAAAGGTTGGAGCTAGACAGTCCGTTGGTTGGTCGAAAGAAACTTCAGTCCTGTGCGACAGCGGTCATAAAGGACAAGGGAAGCGTCCACTTGTTATACATTATGAATGGGGTTAAAGTTTTTATAACGTCAGGTCGTGTGCAGTCTGTAGTCTAGACTCTATTTCAGTCATAACAGGCTCAGAGAGTCCAGTATAGATGGAGTCATAAATAATATGAAACCCTTCCCATCATGCACTTTGCCGTACACATGCTGATATTTTTCATATGTCGGTTACATCTTTGAATAAATCTCTGTTTCTCTGGCTTTTAAAGTCGTGATGGAGAGCTCGGTAGCTTCAGCCAACAGACTGTTCGCTTAACTTTCCCTTAAAAATTGGACAGTGGGAGTAACAGCTTGCTTGGCTAAGTCCAAAGTCATAAAACACATTCGCCAACACCGCGTAGTTACAGTTTTTTTAATAAATACAGACATCCCTTTTTTTTAAATCAGTATTTTCAGACTACCCAACTTTTCTCTTGCAGTACCGTTTGGTTAACTGTGAACAAATGCAACAGTACTCAGATTTTCCACTGGGTCAGATATTCTTTCTGTGATATTTGGGAGAGCAAATCACCTCGACTCACTGCAGAGGAAGAGGCTCCAGTGGTCCTTCAGTTTGCACGTAATGACTTTATTTGTCTAGTTTCTATTGTCACAGATAAAAGCCTTGATTGGACTGCAGGCCAGAGACATTTTTTGAGTATCCAGATTGTATTGTGATAATTAAAAGAAAGCCTGGACAGTAAAATATTCACAGGAAGTTCGATTTTTGCCAAATCAGAACTGAGCCACGTTTTGGTAGTTGATTTAAAAAGTTGATTCCAGAGTGAGTTCGTTGATGTATCTTGGCAAAAACACTCTGGCTGCGCAAATCCAATTTCAGATAGTTTTTTTGAGTTACTCACACTCCATCAAATCTGTGTGTTCACAGACGCCTGCCGTGACAAAATCATGCTTTGTCACAAGTTCCTGCTTAGCTACGTTTGTCTGGTTTGAAAATGCAATGGAAAGGTTGTGGACATGCATCAAGACAAATCAATGAAGGATCTGCATCCCTCTTTAGAAAGCCATCAGAGTTGATCTGTTACTAAATCCCAATTCAAGAATGAGTATTGCCAATTCCTCTTAAAATGCAGAATCATCACGGAGTTGTATGCCAATCAACTCGCCAATCCAATATCAGAACCAACACAACCCAAAAGTCTGCCTGTTTCAGGTCAAATATCAAGTGTCAATAACAAACAGCAACAAGTTTCCTGCCGTTCGTTGGGTGTCCACTTGAGGCTGGCTGCATGGTTGGATGTCATGGTTTGTCAGGAGGCTTAAAACCCGCCTCAGCTCCAACTCTTACGACCCAATTTCCACAAACGCCGTCTGCCTGCGGTCCGTCTGCCTGCGGTCCGTCAGCGCTACGCTCTGCTCCGTTTCAAATACGCTGCGATTCTATTTTCGACAGTAACTAATCCCATCCATATGCCGATGAGGCAGTGGGCGCAACTTGGGGTTAAGTGTCTTTGCCCAAGGGCACATCGGACATGTAGCTGCAGGAGCTGGGGAATCGAACCCCTAAACTTCCGGTAGACGACTGACTCTGAACTCCTGCACATCAACACACCTACTCGCTCTCTCAGGTCTTCTTCCATTCAACTCACTGCACCACCCGCCCGCCTGTCCACCATGGGGTCCAGGGCCTTCAGCCGCTCTGCCCCCCCACCTCTGGAACTCCCTCCCACCACAAATCCGTAATATCGACTCTCTCTCCATTTTTCATTTTTTCTAAACACATCTTTTTAAACTGGATTATTCAGTCTGATCATTCTCCGCCCGGTCTCATAACTCCTCTACATCCTGTACATTTGTGTTTTTAATGTTAATTTGATCGTTGTGTTGTTACTTTGTTGTTTTTATCTCTGCTCTGTAAGGTGACCTTGAGAGTTTATTATTATTATTATCATTATTACCTCTGAGCCACAGCCGCTCATAGCCAGTTAATGTCCCAAGATCTCGAGAAAAGGGGCTGAAATAAAGTATTCATCACCACCGAGATAAGATAGTCATGAAAGAATCAAAATGTTCTTATTGTCACAGAAAAAAGATAAATAAAAATGCATGAATCCATGTCCTCTTAGGGCCTTATGATGGACACTATAAAGGGTTGTGTCATATAAACTAAAAAGTTCATAAAGAAACAGTAATATTTGAACTCTGCTTAGCTCTGAAGTTTGTGGTATCAGGATTATCGTTCTTTGGCGTCCATCATGACGGAGGAAACAAAATGATTTCTGAGGTTTAATGGGATTTGAAAGAAGATGCCTCGTCCTGTCGTTGAGAGATGCTGGATTGTGACAGCCCGTTCAGAGACAGTACACAGTGTGTACACACAGTTTGGATATTTTTCCCCTTCTGTCTACGCTCTGCTTCTGAGCTCTGTTTCATCTTTCAGTACAAACACAAAGTCATCACCAAACATCACATCCAATCAGCGACGTTTGTACCGATGTAAGCCCATTTTTTTTATCTGCCTTTCTTAGTTAACAAAATGATTCTTTGATTCTCTTCTTAAAACTCAACCTGTGCTTTTCAAGATGTGACTGACAGAGACCTGATGCTGTATGTATATTTGTGGTTGAGATGAAAGAAATATTCAATATCCAACATTCTGGGTTTATTCGCTTTCTAGCTGAGAGTAATGCCCGCCGGTTCTGGAGACAAGACCAGACAGGAAGTCGTTAAAATTCATGCAATAAACTCTGTCTGTCCTGCAGGTCTAACCTCTTTTTGTGTTCAGAAACAGACATTTGGATATTAGGTGTCAGCTGCACTTTAGTAAATGCCGTGCGGTTTCCTCTACCTGCTGTGAAATCATTTGACATTTTGGATAATTTTTAGTTTTTTCCACTTCCTGACAAAGAGTAGCATAAATAAATGAAGACCACACCCACCTCTAATGTTATTGTTTCTCCTCTAGACAGATTTCTGTGCTCCATGTTCATGGTTTTCCAACAATTGCTCAATTCCCTCTCCCCCCTAAAACCGCATCACTGCCGACGGTGCGCCAATCGACCTGTCAACCTCACCGTCCGTCTTTCCTGTTGTAGAAAAAAGATCCACTGCTGCTTATTCTGGTAAAATCTCAGTCAGCTCCAAATTTGCTCCTTGCTAGGTGCGCTTGTTCTGGGGCGGCTGTCGCGTCACCTCCGTCAGCTGGTCGTCTGATCCCCAGCTCCTGCAGCTACATGTCCGATCTGTCCTCGGGCAAGACAATTAACCACAAGTGTGCTGCTTTATCGGTGGTGTATGAATGTGATTAGTTAATACTGATGGACTCTTTACATAGCAGCCTCTACCATCAGTGTGTGAATGTGTAGGTGTGACTTGCGGTGTAAAAGCAGTCAGAAGACTAGAAAAGCGCTACTCAAGTTCAAGTCCATTTAGCATTCTGTTGTGCACCAAGATTGGAAGAAAGGTAAATGTAGTTAGCCTCTTTCTTTAAGTTAATTGTTGCATGTTTTCTCAGAGAACAAGCCGTTTAGCGCCCTCTGCAGACTGATCCTGGGATTACTCCAACAGATGTTTCCCGCATGATCTGAAACTTTGCCAACGTTAAGTTTAAGCATCCAGCATTGTAACACTATGTGTGAGATTTAAAATGGGGATCAGCATAAGAGGTCGACTTTAAAGACAGTTAAATACAGCATAGGTTAGAAGATACAAACTGGCGCACGAGAGAAGCTAAACTTCAGACCTCAAAGATTTAGTGAGAAGCTGCGACGTTGTGAGAAGTGAACACACAGCGACTCTTAAACACATATTTCTCTGGTGTCATGCACAGGACGGGAGTTGAGTATCCCATCACAGGCTTGTTTGAGCGGGTGAAGTGGGCTCATAGCGCTAGAATATGTGTTCATATGGACGATCGCTTTAGGTTTTGTAGAACCACAAAATAACACTGTTACTGCAGAAAGCATTAAAAACATTGGGATGTTAATGTTTATGTCAAATTTCCAATCCTAGTAGGCTGGTTGTAGACTCCGCCTTGTTGGGAAGCCTAGAGGAAATGTTGAACCCATAGTTTCCCATAACCTGAATGTTTTGTTGCATATGGATAAACCACGACGACATAAAGTATTAATTTGTGAGCATCAGAGTAGGCGGAGGCCTGACTAGCTGTATCCAGTCTTTATGCTAAGCTAACCAGTGTTTCGTTTAATGAATAGATTTTGAGGGTGCTGTTGAAACTCCAAAGGAAGTAATCCCATTTCCCAAGAAGTCCAACTTTTGTTTTCAATGTGAGATAAAGAATGAAATGCTTTTCCTTTCATTTGGGGGAAAATCACATGGGGTGTTTAATCTAATTGTTCTGCGGGCCGGGTCTGCTCCCCCCCGGAGGCTTTGACAACCTTTCCTGAATAATGTCAGTTTTGTTGTTTTAAATTGGACTAAAATTCAGGGCGTTGGGGCTAATTAGGTTAGACCTCTATCAGACGGCTGTTTGTGTGGATCCAAAACTATTGTGAAGCCTATTTCTCTGTGCAGAGATTCATCTGATCACAGTCTCCTGTTGGCCACTTTGCTTCCTGTTAAATCAAAACAAGAGCGATGGTCCAAGTCTCCCAGGAGCAGACACTGTTCCCCAGTGAAACCCGAGCGTGGCTACAAAACAGTTTCTATTTTGTGTTGCCTTTTGTCCGTGGTAATTACCTGCAAAAAACACAGCCAGACTTTAAAATGCCTTCATTAAACTGGAGAGCTGTTTTTTTTTTTAAATTCTGATATTCATGTAATTAATCAAACGCTTTCTGTGTTTAAATGTTAATTTTATTGATAGAATCGGCCTCTTTGTTTCACTGTTTGTCAAAGTGTGACGGGAAGGCCTGAGCAAAAGGGACACATACCAATGAGGACACACCATGAAAATGATTATTTATGCATTCTAGGCTGCGGGCGCGATCGATTTAATCGAGACTCCTGAGAAACGTGCAGCATTCCACTTTTTTATCTGAGAAAAAATTGAGGCACAGGCCCCGTTCAGGTGGCGAGGTCCTTGGACCGACACTGAACGAGTCTAACACCGCCTGACGTCTCAGTTATTTTATTTTTTTTCTCTCTCACACCTCGTCTGACACGCGTCGTTTCATTCACAGTCACAGATACTGTTTCACCTCCTCCCCCCCCCCGGTGTTGCAGTGTGAAGCCTTGCAGGATCCACATGCCTCCCCTCTCTCTCTTGTTTGTCAGGGTCACCATGCAAGACGGTGACGGATGAGGCAGCGGGAACCTGTTCCCCCCTTTGCCACAAGAGACGCACACATATACACACAAGTACACACTGTCTCTATCCATTACCTCATGAGGGACTCACTCCTACTAAACCCCGTCAGGGCGGGCTGTTTGTCAAAGAGAAGGAGAGAATAACACTCAAGAACGGAACGATCCATGACCAGGAATTTGGTTTAAAGAATGATGATGCAGCTTTTTTTAAATATGTCATTTATTTATATCTGAATGTATTCACGCTGAACATCACAGGATACAAAGACACAGAGAAGCACTTTGTTGAAATCAGCAGGTTGATAGTTGAGGTAAAAAGGAGTAAAGAGAAGAAGAGTGTAATGTTGTCCTTCCAGGTTGTCCAGGGTTTGAATGATTCTTCGTCTACTAAAAAAAACACTCAAGCATGAGAAGAAGAGTTTGTAGAAACAAAAACAAATCTTGACTCATTTAATTCACAAATCTCAGCTGTCCTCTGTGAAGGAGATGGAGCAGTCCGCAGTCTCAGGGCTGCAGCCTTCCGCAAACGCAAACAGGAAGTACATCACCTTCCTCACCTTGGCCAGCTCCGCGATCCTCTCGCCGAACTCGTGCGCGTCGGCCTCGTAGCACTGGACGGCCGCGTCGCCCCGCGCCCTCCAGAAAACGCCGGCGGGCTCCAGCAGCTGGCGCGTCATCAGGTTGGTGAGGTCGGGCGTCCACAGCTGCGAGGTGGCCGTGACGGTGAGGCGCCCGGCCTGGGCCAGACGCACCGTCCAGTGGGAGAAGCGGAGGGACTGCCGGGAGAAGTCGAGCCGGTACACGGCCTCGTTGGGCAGCAGCAGGCGCTCGCCGTCCTGCCTCTTCTGACCGCGCTGCTGCAGGGACTGAACCCGCAGGCGCATCACCTCCGTCAGCTGGTCGTCTGGCCTGAAGGAGAGCTCCAACTCTGCAGACATTGCTTCACACGGGGCACCACAACGGCTCTGACAGGTCGATAATGTACTGGATTAGATTGGCAGCTATGTCGAAAACTAAGCGTCTTCACTTTCTCTCCGTCCTCTTCCTTTAATCCTGTGACTCTCGCCTTGCACTCGTGCCTGCTGGCAGAAACAGTTTGCATATATGCATGGAGCATCAACAACAGAGGGTGGGTCTTAACACAGAAGTACAGGAGAGCAGAGGTGCTAGGCAACAGGCTCTGATGACATTTGCAGCCACAGCATTGGGTCCACCCTCGGGGAGATCCTCAGCTCTGTTTGTCACGCAGTTGTTTGTCTGCTTGGTTACTGATCTCTAACTCTTAATACCTGACAGGAAGAAGTTTATATTTGAAATCCTGGAGAGTTGCATAAGTGAAAATGTAAACATGAGGATCTAAACTGTTAAGTAAGAGAAGAGTAGCTCTTTTTTGTTGTATATGATGGGTGATGGGGAGGAGTAAGGAGTGAGGGGGAAATCCCCTTTGTTCTCCTCGGTATGCATTCTGACAGACAGCAAAGACAAGGTGCCTTCTGCTTGTGTTTCTGGTCACTCGTCAGGTCACTCACTTCCCAGAGTTCACTTGCTGCATAGCGACACTTGGCCCAGATGAAAAAAACTGAGATGGATGGAGCGTCTGCTCTCTCGCTGTCCACAGTGCAGAGTCAGAGCAGCAGCAGCAGCAGCAGCAGCAGGGTGGAGTGCAGGAGAGATTGCCTCCCAAAGGATTACAAAATGACTCTGAGGCTTCTGTGGTGCAGTGCTTTGTTTTTGTTTTTTTTCCAACCTCCCTCCTCCTCCTCCTTTTTTTTTTTTTAAAAGGAGCTGTTGCTGCGTGGTCCTCCAGAGAGGCCAGATTCTCTCCATCAGCACAGTGTCACCTCCTGCAGAGAGGTTTGACAGGAACTGCTGTTCGGTTAGCACACCTTGACATCTCCAAAGGACACCCCGCTGCAGCACTGTCAGTGAATTCACATGCAGTGTCGCTCACTGCATCATTAGCAGTTCTTTTTTTTTTTTTTATTGCATGCAGTATTCATACAGGTGGAAGTGTCACAGGTGCTCCTTCACAGGCTGCCTCCAGGTCGGTGTCCTGTTATGACATAGAGTCACAGTGGGAAAGCTGCACTTCATGCATTTTAAACAGCTTTCACATCCCTGAACCTGCAGAAAGTTAAGGTGCAATAAATCCTCTTTACACTACCTGTTCAGACGCAAAAGACCCCCGTGAGAGACAGGCAAAGGGTCACAAGTTGTAGCGATTACTTCCTGTTAACCTTCTTGCTATCACCACCTTTCATGGCTTTGAAATTGAGTCTGTATCTCAATACAGATATCTGGGGTTTGTGATTGATGATTCTCTTTCTTTTAAGCCTCACATTCAGGAATTGGTAAATAGAAACTCAAGTTAAAATTAGGATTTTATTTTAGAAATAAGTCTTGCTTTTCATAAAAAAAAAACTTGTTGCTGCCACATTTATGTCGGTGCTAGACAATGGCGATGATATTTACATGCCTACATGCGCTGTCTACTGTTTACCATGGGGCACTGAGGTTTATTACCAGTCTTAAAGCCCTTACTCATCACTGCTCCTTGTATGCTCAGAATATTTAATTATCTTAAATTGTGAGTGATATGAACCACTTAAAAAATGTAAGCAAACGATTTAAGACACATTCGATAACAAGTTCTGTTTTTAGTAAGTAAGAAGACTTCTTCAGCCCTGAGATGTATTTATTTGTCTCTATTTTACTCGACACTACGCTCGCTATGGTTATACATCTTCTGTTTTTCAGCATTGGGTTTTGTGTGTTTGTGTGTTTGTTTGTGTTTCAATGTGAGCGTTTTCTTTGTTTGTTTACGTCTCTGGTCAATATAATAAGTACAGCTCTCAAAATGGAGGCGAGTGGTTATAGGGGCTTCACTGGACCACAGCAAATGCAGGCAGCTGAAACAGACAGACACACACACACACACACACATACACACACACACACACACACACACACACACACACACACACACACACACACACACACAGTTATTACATCTCAGCTATGTCCTATTACAGCTGGATTTATGACTGAGAGAGCCAAGGTGATAAATTTGTCCCCTAATCCTGAATGCATCAGCAGACATGAGGGACCGCTGTCTCAGTCTGACCTCCTTCATATTGTTTATGATCCGAGGACCACCCACTCTTTGTTTGGCTTACCTGCTCTTCTTCCTCCTCCTCTTCCTCCTCTTCCTCCTCCTCCTTTCCTCTTCTTCCTCCTCTTCCTCCTCCTTTCCTCCTCTCTCCTCCTCCCTTTTCCTCCTTCTCCTCCTCTTCCTCCTCCTTTTCCTCCTCCTCCTCCTCCTCCTTTTCCTCCTCTTCCTCCTCTTCCTCCTCTTCCTCCTCCTTTTCCTCCTCTTCCTCCTCCTTTTCCTCCTCCTCCTCCTCCTCTTCCTCCTCCTTTCCTCTTCCTCCTCTTCCTCCTCCTTTTCCTCCTCTTCCTCCTCTTCTTCCTCCTTTTCCTCCTCTTCCTCCTCCTCCTCCTCCTCCTCCTCCTCCTCCTCTTCCTCCTTCCTCCTCTCCTCCTTCTTCCTCCTTCTCCTCCTTTTCCTCCTCCTTCCTCCTCCCCTTTCCTCCTCTTCCTCTTCTTCCTCCTCCTCTCTTCCTCCTCCTCTTCTCCTCCTACTCTTCCTCCTCCTCTTCTTCCTCTTCTCCTCCTCTTCCTCCTCCTTCCTCCTCTTCCCCTCCTCCTCTTCCTCCTCTCCTCCTCTTCCTACTCCTCTTCCTCCTCCTCCCTCTTCCTCCTCCTCCTCCTCTTCCTCCTCCTCTTCCCTCCTTCCTCCTCCTTCTTCCTCTCCTCCTCTTCCTCCTCCTCCTCCTCTCTTCCTCTCTCCCTCTTCCTTCTCCTCCTCCTCCTCTTCCTCCTCCTCTCCTCTTCCTCCTCCCTCTTCCTCCTCCTCCTCCTCCTCTTCCTCCTCCTCCTCCTCTTCCTCCTCCTCTCCTCTCCTCCTCCTCTTCCTCCTCTCCTCCTCCTCCTCTTCCTCCTCTTCCCCTCCTCCTCTCCTCTTCCTACTCCTCTTCCCCCTCCTCTTCCTCCTCTTCCTCCTCCTCTTCCTCCTCTTCCTCCTCTCCTCCTCTTCCTCCTCCTCTTCCTCCTCCGCCTCTTCCTCCTTCTCCTCCTCTCCCTCCTCTTCCTCCTCCTCCTTTTCCTCCTCCTCTTCCTCCCCCTTTTCCTCCTCCTCATCCTCCTCCCCCCCTCCTCTTCCTACTCCTCTTCTTCCTCCTACTCTTCCTCCTCCCCTCTTCCTCCTCCTCCTCTTCCTCCTCCTCTTCCCCTCCTCCTCCTCCTCTTCCTACTCCTCTTCCTCCTCTTCCCCCTTCCTCCTCCTCCTCTTCTTCCTCTCCTCTCTTCCTCTCCTCTTCCTCTTCCCCCTCTTCCTCCTCCTCCTTCCTCTCCCCCTCTTCCTCCTCCTCCCTCCTCTTCCTCCTCCCCCTCTTCCTCCTCCTCCTCTTCCTACTCCTACTCCTCTTCCTCCTCTCCTCCTCCTCTTCCTACTCTCTTCCCCCTCCTCCTCCTCTTCCTCCTCCTCTTCCTCCTCTTCCCCTCCTCTCCTCTTCCTACTCCTCTTCCTCCTCTTCCTCCTCTTCCTCCTCCTCTTCCCCTCTTCCTCCTCCCCCTCTTCCTCTTCCTACTCCTCTTCCTCTTCCTACTCCTCCTCCTCTTCCTACTCCTCTTCCTCCTCCTCCTCCTCCCCCTCTTCCTCCTCCTCTTCCTCCAGGTCATCCCTGACTGGAAGGAGCAGGAGTGGGACACAGAGAAGCCAGAATCCTACGCTGGAATTTTCCACTTCCGCTTCTGGCGTTTTGGCGAGTGGGTGGACGTGGTGATTGACGACCGGCTACCGACGGTGGACAACCAGCTGGTCTACTGCCACTCCAACGACAGCAACGAGTTCTGGAGCGCTTTGGTGGAAAAGGCCTACGCCAAGTGAGTATCAGAGCCAAATAAACAGATTGAGATTTAAATGAGAGACACAAAGACGATTACTGAAAACTCAACATTTCATTGAAACTTTGAGAAATTTTGTTTATAACCTCTAATAAACCAACAGTCTTAAATAAATGTCAGTATGAAATGAATAGACGTGTCTTTTTAATATTCAGACAACAGAGGACTTAATAATGATACGCAGAGACATGCTGCAAGTTATTGTTATTTTCTAAAGTCTGTACCTGGCTTCCACCGGTGGCCTCTTTCCGCATGTCATTCCCCGCTCTCTCTCTCCCTGGTTTCCGACTCTATCCACAGTCCTCTCTCTGCATTAAAGGCACAAAAAGCCCAAAAATAAATCTTAAAAAAAAAAGAAGATGTCTTTCCAACTTTAAAAAAAATGCAAGCTGGTTTTTGTCAAATGTTGAGTTTTTTAAGATATTGGTGTAGCAAGAAGGAATCATTGTCCACCAACCTGCGTTTCTTTTTTGTACCTTTCTTGCAGACCTTGATGGTTTCTATTAGCGCTGCTAGATTCATTTATTTTTATGATCATGGGAACAATCGAGTTCTTAGTCTGCGACCTTCAAGGTGGCTTGATTTGTTCTTGCATGACGTCTGCTTCTGTGTTATTCTTCACAACATGGACCTGACTCCATTATTGCTCCCAAACCGACCTCATGGGCCACTCTTTGAAGGCTTTATATGTGCTTTTTTGATCCAGCAGATGTTGTGTTAGCATGCTAATGCTAGTGATCTTTATCATGCTGGTATCTTCACACTGCATGTAAATTTACCTGAAATGAGCGTGATCTAGAAACACAGTTAAGCAGTGAGTACAGTATGTTATTCTTCTTTTCTCTAGTCCCTCAATTAAACAACTTTTATACACGAGGGGAGGAGTCAGCCGGCCGTCCTGGCGATGTAAACAAAGTGAAGATAGGACTCTGAAAACTCTGAAAACATCACAGACAGTGGGACTCGGGTGTTACACCCATTGTAGACAGTCATGACTCACAGAGTTATTTTCAGAGGATATACTTGATTTCTACATTTAAGAGTGAAAAATCACATACAAAGTCTTGTATGTGATCTAAAAAGTTGAAAAATGATGGGTTGCTGAAGGTTTCTTTATGGACAAACCCTTGAAAATGTAACGACCATTCCTCTCCTCCTCCTGCAGGGTTTATGGCATCTACGAGGCTTTGGACGGGGGAAACACAGCTGATGCGCTGGTGGATTTCACTGGTGGGGTTTCAGAGCCTGTGGACCTGCTGGAGGGTCAGATGGCAACAGACGAGGTGGCCCGGAACCAGCTGTTTGAAAGAGTCCTCAAAGTCCACAACAGAGACGGCCTCATCAGCTGCTCCATCAGGGTGAGCTCAGAGCCACGGCTAAGAAAAGTCTTTTTAGATAGATATTCATGTGTTTGTGTCCCTTCAGAGTATAATATGCAACATTTTAGACGTTAAAAAAGCAGATATCAAATAAATCCTAACCACCCCTCCCTTAGTGTTCAGACTGAGACTGAGTGTTTCTACAACTGATCTCCATTCTGATATACAGCCCAAAGTCCATTCTGATTTCTTTATCCCAAAAAAAGTATTTTCTTCGGTTTGGAGAGTCTCAACTAACAGCGTCCCTAAATGGGCGATATCTCAGTCTGTAGGGACTTGTGTTGGGAACCGGAAGGTTGCTGGTTTAAGTCCTGGTGCAGACCAAATTTGGAAATTGGTCCGGTAGTTGGACCAATTTCCAAATCCCCCAAAAAACCAAAAATGTAATTTCCCCTGGCAGGATCTATAAAGTATATCTTCTTCTTCTTAAATATTGGCTAATTAGCAAACAAACAAAGGACACTGCAGAGGCTGATAGTACATCATTCAAATACTTATATTGTACTTATATCACAAGAGTTCACTTGTCATTTTTGCACCATGTCAATACCTGTTCTGGCAAAATTGTTTAATCCTCTGAAGCTGACCCCAGAGCTCCTTTCATAATTATACCATTTTCTAGCTGTAATTTTTAAAAATCCGGTGCGGATGAAAACCCCCACCTCCCTGCTGCAAAGATAGCAGACCACTATAGTGCCAAATCTTCTGCATAAATTCTTCCTCAACTTTCAAAAGGCTCTTCAATGCAGTGCAGCATTTTTGTGTGAGATTTACGTGAGGTGCACACAAATGAAAAGCGTGCACTCATTTGGTCATTTTGATGATAGTACTTGTTGAAGGACCCTCTCACAGAGCAGCTCATGCACTAACAGCCGAATTGTGGTTAATCTATGTTTAAAAAAAAAAGAGTTAAAGAGGAAGCCATTGAACCCATTTAGAACAGTGTGAGGCCGACATCTTCCAGAAATCAAAGCACTTTGATGGGGAGGAAGAACAAGTGAGAGCTACAAACAGAATTTTAATCAATGTCATGTGTGCTTGGAACCTGCGCTAAAAAGATGTGGGTTGATCTCTCTGGAATGAAACGATGATGGAAAAGATCTGTCATAAATTAAATGAGGGGGGCAGTATTATGTCGCTAGCTTTTTCAAGGAGATAGTTTGATGGCATCGATGGAGACTCGTCATCATGTTGGACAGATGTTTTTTTCCCGAGGTTGAGGCCGTACCGAACAGATTGTAAACACACCCGTCTGAGATCAGAGACCAGCAGCACATAGATCAATCTCTGAACCCTTCAGATATCACCTGGTGACTGTTAAGCCTCTGCTGATATGTCAGGGCTTCTGATGTAGCCAGCTGATATCAGTGTAAAGGATTAAAGGATATCCAGGCCAAGACTTCCTTTCATGCCACTGGTTGCTCCAGTGTCAAAAAAGAGAAGACTCAAAGTTAGCACATTTTATTTCTGCCACAGCGTCTTCAGGTAAATGATCTCAAATTGGTTTGCTGACTTTGTTTGCAGATCGTCACATCTGAAGATATGTGTACGCATTTGTGGATCTTACACTAAGCGATCATTTGTGTGTATTTTCAGGATTTACAGCTGAAAAAACTCACCGCCATTAATAAATAAGTAAACATTTCGAAATTGGTCTACATATTTGCAGATTAGTTTACACATTTGTGGATCTTTTTACACATTTGTGGATCTTTTTACACATTTGTGGATCTGTGTACACATATTCAAATAGTTTTGCCACAATAATAGCTCCATAAAGTCGGTTCCAATAGTTCACTCTGCAGTCCTAACTGTCCGTTGCAGTCAATGTAATGTTGATAGTTACTTTTGGATTCAGGACTAAATGTGGCATAATCACATCATGTCATTTCAAAAGATCAGTGAGTAAAATTTAATTCATGCAGACTGTGATGGTTTTAGTAGAGCCCGACCGATTAATCGGCCAGCCGATAATATCAGCCGATATCAGCATATCTAGTAACTATGGCAATCTGCTAAAATTATCTCTGATATGCGGCAATATTACCAGATTTATTCACGAGTTAAATAGTTTCATTTGAGTTTCATTGTTATCACACTAGCAGCTCTCTGTCACCAGCAGAGGGTGCAATTACTTTCCAGTTGAGTAAACATCGTATCTTCATTTCATATTTTATGTGTTTGATAACTGCATTTTAGGTATCATTGCATTTATTTGTAAATCTCAGTCTATCTGTCTCTACAGATTGAACAAAGGTCTAACAAAGATATCGGCCAATTATTTGTATCAGATTTTTTTTTCTGTCCCAAAATCGATATCAGCATCAGCTCTAAAAGTGCATATTGTCTGCCTTGGGTTATAGTGTTATGTAACCAGACTATAAGACTTGGACACAACATCCTGGAGCCATCATGGCCTCCATTAGATGCTGTTAAAGCAGCAATGGACTCACTCTTGGGAATGATATTCCTTCTGAAAAGCTTATTTTCCATGAACTCATGTTTTAGAAATCCATTAAGCAGAGCATCTATTTGTCCTTTCTCTGCTTTTAATTGTCTTGTGTTGCCATTTTAATCAGGCTCTCGGTTGTTGTTGTTGGATAATAATGTTTGATATTGGCAGTGTAATCTGTCACAAAAAGCCAAGCAGACTGAGCACATAATTACTGGATCGAAGAACCAATTTTCTGATAAAGCTGCCCAGTGATTCTCTTCCTCGTACCGTCCAAATGTTTGGACTTGAAAATGGTGCATTGCTCAAATTTGAAAGTGTCACATTATTGTTATTTTCTTAATGAAATACACACACCAAAATGTTCCATTGTGTTTGGTTTCCCAGGCAACATCAACAAAGACAAAATCCTGAAATGTGCTTCCTTGTACCTGCATGAAGAGATGATCGATATAAGACTTTAGGATAGTTTTACCAAGATTAAAAAAATGAATATACCAGCTGCTCCAAACAATCTGAATCTGTAAGAGAGCAACATTATACGTTCTTGGAGTAAAATTACTTCAGATATGTTTCCTTTTAATGCAAGTGAATATATGTTTCAACACTTATGAATTGGGAATCACAGTTTTTGGAAAACTGGAGCTGGAAAACCTTGAAGGAGGGTTAACCCTACACTGCAGCTTTCTGAGATCCTCAATCAATCAATCGGTCAATCAATCAATCTATTATTATTTGTTTAGCACTAATTCATAACAATTGTAATTTCGAGACACTTTACAAAAAGCAGGTAAAAGACCTTACTCATTGTTATATTACAAAGACCCAATGTTAATCCATCATGAGCAACATTAAGCTAAGTTGTAGTGGCTATGGAAAAACATGCTTTTTTTTTTGTTTTGTTTTTTTTGTTTTAATACTTTTTATTTGATAGATTTGAAGAAAGCAACGTAAACTGTCAGAATAAGCATATATACATTTGTATTTGTATGGGAAACGTCCTTTTAAGATGCAGAAATCTTAACATCAACATGCCTGTGCCAAATGCGTTGCTCTGTCACTATGTCAGCTCACATACAACGTTATCTCCATTTTGTAGATCAATATACCGCCAAACCGATCCACGCAATGAGATGCTGTTCGCTCACTCTGTTTGTTTACATCTGGGTGGTAGACCACGGAGCTCAACATTCCCATTCTGAGTCTGAAAGCGAAAACGTGTTGTATATCTCTCTTCTTGGTTTCCATTTTCTCCCTGTTTGCTTTAAGTAAGTGAACATCATCTCTTTATTCAGTCCTCTTGGACACAAAGCTTTCTTTTTTTCTTCCAATTCAAACAGCGAGTGTGACTTATCAAAGACTTTAGACTTTAGACTTCATTGTCCCCAAGGGGAAATTATTTTCCACAGCACCGTCCAAACAGACAAGTCCCTCCAAAGAACATTCATACACAGAGAAACAGAGTATAACACAAACAGAGATAGACAGAAAGTCAAGAGTTCCCACTCTGGCTCCACCAACTTATAACTAGACATGCCTTTCTTTGCCGTTGTCCAGGCGACC